ATTAAATTTGTGATAATTCATATTATTTTGCATTGTTAGGCACTTCTGAATTATTAATTAAACTCCGATTAATACTCTGGATTAGTGACAGTCTACTGTATATCAATGAATGAAATTAACAGTTGATTTTACAGTTTTTCAGAACCATTATTAAAAAACAAACCAGCAACATTTAAAATTTTGGTGGCGCCACCTGTTATCATATTTTATTAAAAAAAACTTTATTTTGTACCATTATAAAATTACAGAATGCTTAATTTGGAGGATAGGGATGAGTTTTATAAAAAATTTAAATGCTAATAATGAGTAAAATCGTCATGAAGTCCAACCCTACTGGAGATACGCACGACCCCCATTATCTCCCCCACCCCTCGACCTTTAACCACCAAAATTTAATAGCCTCATTCTAGGGGGATCGATGCTATAAACGAATCTCTAAACATAANAGATTATTTTCGAATGCCACTCTTATTGCAGAGATAACCGGTGTTAACAAGAACCTAATAGAACAATTTTCGGTTATATTACAAGCGCTGGCATCGGCTACGAAATTGATACGAGCAAATTCGAAATCTACACGAAGGAAACAGCGGAGTTATACGTGACGCTTTATCATTGGTATCCCGTGCCAGTCACTCTTCACAAAGTTTTAATACGCAAATCAAAAATTCGTTTCTAGTTTCAATAGGACAATTGTCCGAAGAAGTGCGAGAAACTAGACACAAGAAATTAAAAAAATTTCGTGAGAGTTATTCCCGAAAAACCTATAGAATAAACACTAATATAGATATTTTACATGATCTTTTAATTTCTTCGGATCCTCTCATTACAAAACTTAGATCACTTGGTATAAGAAAACTCCGTTAACCGCTAACGTTTTAAAATTACTAAAAGCACCGAGCGTGACCGTAGTATAAGAGAAATCCGAGTCAAACTCCGAAAATGTGACTCCGATATGTAAATTTTTAGTTAATACGATATCTAAGTAAAAAATTTTTATTATAAAAATGAATTGCACCAGCCTATATACTTAAGTCCTGCTAGAATCGTCTCACGACCCANTTGGCCTCTTCAGTAGGGTTTCTTACCACTACTGAAGAGATTCTTCTGAATTATTTTCTGAAATCTGAAAGAATCACTACTGAATTCTCCAGTTATAGGGATAAACAGAATAGTTTTAGGTTAAAACTTTTTCAAGCGAAACTTGTGCAGCGATGAGTAATAGCATCAGAACACAGGGTAGTTTTACTCTAGATTCACGCTAAATATAAGACTACCCGAAATATTACTCTGAAAAGTTGAAATTATTTTAGAAAAGGGTAATTACTCTAGAAACGGCAGCAGCACTGGTCAAGAATGAATACAATACAAATTCCGTATGTGTTTGCAATGCGCCCGTTGACAAGTTTCAACCTATCCTTCGTAACGTGGTGAAAGCCACTACAGGAATTTCGCTTTGTGGTCGTTTTGAGTTAGCCACAAGACGTTGTGATCGTTTTAACAACTGCCACAACGCGAATTTCGCTTCGTAACCGTTTTTTTTTTTTTTTTTTCGCTCAACGAGCGATTTCGGTCTTTGAACCTAATACAGTATGCCGATTACGCTGTATATTTGAATGAGAACAATAGTTATTCAAGTTTTACTTATCCAAAGAACGGGTATTTAGAAAGATTGAGAATGGTTTAGGGCATTTGCCTTCACTCCATTTGTCTACATCGGAAAATCTGATTACAAGACTGTAATTGAAAAATTGCACAAGTTGAAACGTTTGATGCGTAGACTGACACAGGAGAAGTGCTTTGTGTATATTTTCCATTGTCTGTGAGTCAAATGCGCCTATTGTTCAATTCAGGTCTTCAGAGAGGCGTTTCTTTACATCAACTCTGTTAGTTTTAAGCGATTGCCCATTTTTATATCAATCAACGCGCTCAGAAACGACGATTTTCTTGACCAGAATGAAAAGTATTGAAATGACGAGTGTATAACTTTATTTGTTTTCATTTGGTGGGGAAACATGAATTATATTAAATTGAATAATTTATTAATTTCTAAAGGCGAGGAATGTCCGAATTTCATTCGGATGGTCCGCAGTAGTGTCCTGCACAATCGTGAGCTATTGCGACAAAGAAACAGAGATTCAACGTGCAAAATATCACGCAATTATGATAAACAAAAGAAAAAATTTGCTTAACCTGTAAAATTAGATTCGGTGGATTTTATTGTACTATTAACAGGAAGAATTTTTTTTTCTCTTGCTGAGTGGTAAAATCGATTGATGCTGTAGAACGTAACTTTATAATTTGAAAGTTTTTAAATTTCTGAGCATTACAATTAATTTTTCCACAAGAAAAAAAATGTTTTATTACAGATCATCCACCTGTCAATTAAGCTATTAGAGAAGAATATGATATTGACGTTGTGGGGATGTGGCAGTTCACGTTTAGGTTGGCAAAGTGGTTGGAATGAGACAAACGAATGTAATTTTTACTTTGTTATACGGAATTTGCGTATATTATTTATTGTTTTTGTATTTTACTGTATAATTTCAGTATTTATTTGTTATTTTTGTGTTAAATTATGTACACTTACTATTTTGTTTATTGAAATGAGTATTGAATCTGGAAATGACTTACTGTATTTCATTTTTCTTTATTACTAATGGAAGAAATTGACTTTACCTGTCGTTTGCTCTACTCACGAACAGTTTGTATTACTCGCCAAGTTAATTTAGCTTTATTGACCCGACATATCCAGACGGACGACCCCCCGAAAACATCCCGGAGTTTTTTCGACCCGTCCCCCAGAGCGGTAAGCTGCCAAATTCACCGCTCGGCCGTCCGACCGTCTAAAAGTAAACAGTTTGTTTGTTTAGTTTGTTAAGTTATGGCAACGCAACACTTGGGCGATCTGCCTAGGGGATGCCTTCCGGGAGGTCTTTTTAAGGGAAACTGGCCCCTATTTAGGCGTTACAAACATGGAGAAATCCCGGGAATTTCCCGTGGCGAGCCCGTCCAAGCGAGGCCGAACCCACAACCAAACTCCCGTGTTTGTTTTTCGACAGTTTTCCCACTTTTAGCTTTAGTAAAAGAAGAATTAAATTCATTGTATTGTGTTTTAGGTAAAGTTGGTGTATATATTTATTTCATATTAATAAATATGTTGTATAATCTTGTATGATTTTTTGTATGTTTCTCCCCGTATCATGGTTGTACCAGTATGCATAAATATATAAAATATAAATAAATAAATATAAAATGTATTATACGATGAGAATGATATATCGAAGTAGAAATTCACCAATATTTAATATTTATTAAAATTATAAATGCTTCGGATATCCTGTTTATAATATTTACGAAATTAAATGTAATCATTAACCCAAATTATAAAGAAAGGAAGTAATTTATATTAATCGATATAAATTACTTCCTTTATATAATTAAATTTCCATTACAGGAAATTTAATTAAAAGGGAAAAACAGAATGGTTTTAGGCTAAAACTTTTTTAGCGAAACTTGTGGAGCGATGAGCAATAGCATCAAAATACAGGGTATTTTTACTCTAGATTTATGCTAAATATTAAGCTACCCGAAACATTACTCTGAGAGGTTGAAATTATTCTAGAAAAGGGTAATTAGCTTAAAAACGGCAGCACTAGTCAAGAAAGAACACAATACAAACTCCACAAGTGTTTGCAATGCGCCAGTCGCAAGTTCCAACCTATCCTTCGTAACGTGGTTGCATCGGCTAACGTTCAGAATGCTTTATGACTTTTCTTAATTAATCACCACAACGCGTAGTGGTCAAATGAAAGCCACGACACAAATTTCGTTTTGTGGTCGTTTTTTTCGCTCATTGAGCGATTTCGGTCTTTGAGCCTAAAATATACAACAGAGGGAAAGTATGGCGATCGGTCATATAAAATTATAAATAACCCCCAGATTTTTACATTTTTTGGACTCAGGGACATTGAAACGTAGATAAATGGAAAAGTGTGTGTGGTACGACACTACTCACTATCATTTCCCAAATTTCATATCGTAGTGGACAGGTGCTCGTCCTCTGTAAAAATTATCGTAAAATCATGTACTCTTTATATCAAGTAAGACCTAGGCAAATTGATAAAGCGATGCGCCGGTGTGGAGTGTCATTCCTTTGACTAGTTTACAGATCATAGCCTTTTGGAAATTGTTTTCAATGAGGTATTTTCGCGTGACGTAGAGTCAAGTGATGCAGTGAAAACACTTGAAGCATAACAGTTTGAAAAAGTTTTGTTAATTAATATATGTAGAAAGTAATAAGTTGTAACTAATTATAAGAGTAATTATCAGATAATGAAATTATAGTTTTTTATTAAAGTATTGAATGTTAAGTATTATAATTTATAAACCGTATAATTTATTTTACATGTGAGCGGTCAGACTAAACAAAAGATTACGGATATGATTGTATTATTTCCCACGGACTGGCTTCCCGTTTGGAGGTGACACACGGAATGTGTCACCGAGAATGAAATGCAAAAAATGGCCATTTGAAGTGGGGGTAGATTTTACCAAAAAAACAAGAGTTGAGAGGAGAGGACCCACAAATAAAAGAGAAAGTCCGATGACGCGACAGAGGAGTTCGTCCGACAGAGGATTTTTCCGTCGTCGAAAATTGGTCGTGTGTGTTCATTCAGATATACTTCGTCGCCGATAGCCGATGACCCCAAATACCCACCAAGGACTATAGTGTCTCCACCGAAAAAGGATCCAAATCAAGAGAGCGATCTTCAGGTAAATACCACGCGCGAACATTTAATATTTATTAAAATTATAAATGCTATCGGACCTCCTGTTTATAATGTTTACCAAATTAAATGTAATCATCAACCCAAATTATAAAGAAAGGAAGTAATTTATGTTAATCGATATAAATTCCATTAAAGGAAATTCAATTAAAATTAAGTCAAGATTCGATATCCTTTATCGATAATAAATTATTATTAATACTTAAAGTTCGATGTAATTAATACGACATTTTAAATCCAAAGATGAATTGTTTAATTACATTTGCTGTTGTTTTCTCCATTATTATAGTGGATACTTATGAAAGTTTCGGATTCAAGCAATTGAAAAGTAAGTGTATTTTATAGATTTTTTCGGATTGACTATAAGAGAAACGGATATAAAAATACTAATACGTATTTAATTTACTTTGGCAGAATTATCTGTGACCGAGAAGAGAACCATAGAAGATGTGGTAGATGTAGAGGAGTTTGAAATAGATTCTACACAACCGTGTCCGGTGATTGAATGTGTGGTAGTGACTGATGGTCACGTATCTCAACATTTTAGCGAAGAAAGAATAAAAACTGATGTAAAAGAGGCTGTTCGTTTGGTAAGCTTTAAAACGTCCATTTCTTATGTAATCAAACTTCTTCAATTCTTTATTATATTAATTTTCTTATGTTTCAGATACAGGAAGAATACCTCGATGAGTTAGAACTCAATCTAACGCTTCGTTTGATTGGACATATCTTCTATACAGTAAGTTAAGTGATAATGAGAAATATCATTTATATTTCGTTTTTTCTTTATGTATACTTCAATTTCAGAACGAAACCGAACCGGATTACATTAAAGAGAGTCTCTATAATCTCAAAACCATCGCTGGTAATATCCTTTCTAACATGAGAGCGATTAAAGACCATCCTCTTGTATCAAGAGCAGATGCTGTTGTGCTTCTAACTACGTAAGAATGAATTATGATAATAGATTTGTATTATGCTTTAACGGAAAAACTAAAAGAACAAAAACTATTATTTAATTCATAATTATCGAATGTTAATGCTAATTGACACGATTAAATTAGCGATATCGTTGGCATTTGTTTTATACTTGATCGATTTGTTCTTACACTTTTGTTATACAGTTATAGTGTTTATAGTGATATTTATTTTAGTACACCTGTCAATACAATTAGGGAGCAAGAAAGAAAATCACTTAGGTCAGAACATTCTGAATGCCAGATCTTACTGTTATATAAGATACAGTAACGTAAGAAATGTGCATTTGAGCCGAATTGCAATTATTTTCGCAGTATAGTGATTAATAATATGCGCATCTGCAAAACGGAACTAATGGTGTTTATGGTATTGCGCTGACTTTAGTAGGACGTAAGATATTCGTCAACAGCTGATCTTGCTGCACATCTGAGTGTTTAAAATTCGTCATCGGTGTCGATGAGGTGTTGGGGAAGTTTTTGTCATTGTTTCCTAAATGCAGTCTTGCTCTCCTAATTGTTTTGACCAGTGTACTTAAATATGTGCGTATACAAATAAAGGTAAAGTATATTATCAATTTTAATAAGTTTTAATTTCAAAAGAAAATATTTTTTAAATTTGAAAGAATATAGTTTTTGTTTACTTATAGTAAAACATACGATAATTATTTTTCTTTCAGACGTGATGTAATTCTATATCTCCCAAAGCCAGAAGAAGAACCATCTTACATCGGTGGTAGGAAATCCAGAATTTCAAACTACGTTTTTATTTCAACAGGATTTTTAATGTTATAGTCATTAAAAATTTCTTTGCAGGTTTGGCTTATGTTGGAACTGCTTGTAATCCAGATTACAAATTTGCATTAGCACTATTTAGCCATCTTATGCAGTATATGGTTGATACCTTTATTCACGAACTTGGACACCTGTAATTNATATTTTTTGTTTACTTATAGTAAAACATATGATAATTATTTTCTCTCAGACGTGATGCAATTTATTCTCTACCAAAGCCAGGAGAAGAACCATCTTACATCGGTGGTAGGAAATCCAGAATTTCAAATTTCGTTTTTATTTCAACAGGATTTTTAATGATATAGTCATTAAAAATTTCTTTGCAGGCTTGGCTTACTTAGGAGCTGCTTGTAATCCGGATTCCAAATTTGCATTAGCACTATTTAGCCATCTTATGCAGTATATGGTTGATACCTTTATTCACGAACTTGGACACCTGTAAGTAACTTTATTAAATAGTTTAAATCCAAATGACATTTTTAAATAGATAAATGATATTGTAGAATCAATATTAATCACGATTGGGAAGCTAAAAATTGCTCACCCAAATTGCTACCTGGAAAAAAACGTTATTCTTATTGCGCTAAGAAAGGCGTAACAGAATTTTTAGAGTAAGTTTAATTTCTTTTATTAAATTTACAGATAATTTGTGATGAATATTTTAATACTTTAATTTTGCTTTTAACAGTACACACTCGTGTTTTCTTGATCACTGTGACAATGGTGAGAAATGAGAGTGGATATCTCCATAAATCGACTACGTCATCGATTGACAATAATTGTTCCTATATTAAANGTTCTAAAAGTCTTATTTCGTAATTTAAAACTGTGCAAAAAAGCAAATTAAAAAAAAAAATCAATGATATGCTTTTACAATGCGCAACTGCCAGAGGGATGATTTTAACAAGTTTGCATACTAAAGCAGAGAAGAGATTCAAAATAAAAGTTGACTGCAGCACAACTGTTATATTCCCAAGATGTATAAAAAAAGAACAGATTATGAAGATGCTCTTCTAATTTCTTTTGAGTTTCTTCTATTATACCAAATTTTCAATTGAATAATCATCCTGTGGTTTTTTTTATAAATTAAAAAACTGTCTGAAAGTACTGGCAAAAAGTGTTTTATTTTTTATAACCGGTATAAGATTGTGTGATAAAAACAAAAGCATACACCTTCAGACTTCATACGAGCAACGCTAAGCTGAAACTATTATAATTTTTACAGAGCCTAGCCATTTTATAGCCTCCCATAGCTATGGCACCATGTATATACCTAATACATACTTACAATCGCATCCACAAACAATAACGTTACTCGGAATCGAGTTCTGAGCATAATATAGAGTCCAATGCCGACTCCAACTTATTTATAAAGTTGTAGCTTTATAAATATGTTGAAGTCAGCGTTGGACTCTATATTATGTGCAGAACTCGATTCCGCGCAACGTTACTGTTTGCGGATGCGATTGTAGATATGTATTTGGTATATACCTTATTTATAAAGCTTTATAGCTTTATAAATATAAATGTAACAATAAATATGTTTTGTGTATATGAATTTCTGCTTGGAATATTAANATTTTGTTATTTATTTATTAGTATAATGTATAATACGCGTATTTAGTGACATACATAAGGGATTCAATAACAATACAATCACGGTTCAATAATACGTGATATTTAGACACTTATCGATGAAAGGTGTCTTAAAAAATACAACAAAACAATGATATAAGAAAGTCTAGAAAAGAAGATTACGTTTCGAATACTTATTTGTCAATGCGCTCCTAATTTTTAAATTCAAAGAATATAAGTATTATTGAATAATTTACGATACTATGATTTTGCATCTGTGTATTATCGAGAAGAAAACTGAAATGTCAACAGACCGCGTTACAATAGACATATCTTTCCTCTTTGGTATCCTTACCGATGTTACTGCTTTGTTAAAAGAAGAAACGTCAGCAGTTATTTTGAAACCTTAATCATACAATCATCAAAGTTCAATTATTATATGCTAAGAAAACATTGAAATCTACATTTGTAAATAATTTATAATTCAAAAATAATTTAATTGCTTATGTTAATTTTTGTTTGTTGAAAGAAAATCACTTAGGTCAGAACATTCTGAATGCCAGATCTTACTGTTATATAAGATACAGTAACGTAAGAAATGTGCATTTGAGCCGAATTGCAATTATTTTCGCAGTATAGTGATCAATAATATGCGTATCTGCAAAACGGAACTAATGGTGTTTATGGTATGGCGCTGACTTTAGTAGGACGTAAGATATTCGTCAACAGCTGAACTTACTGAACATCTGAGTGTTTAAAATTCGTCATCGTTATCGATGAGGTGTTGGGGAGTTTATGTCATTTTTTGTAAATGCAGTCTTGCTCTCCTAATTGTTTTGACCAGTGTACTTAAATAATGTGCGTATACAAATAAAGGTAAAGTATATTATAAATTTTAATAAGTTTTAATTTCAAAAGAAAATATTTTTTAAATTTGAAAGAATATATTTTTTGTTTACTTATAGTAAAACATATGATAATTATTTTCTCTCAGACGTGATGCAATTTATTCTCTACCAAAGCCAGGAGAAGAACCATCTTACATCGGTGGTAGGAAATCCAGAATTTCAAATTTCGTTTTTATTTCAACAGGATTTTTAATGATATAGTCATTAAAAATTTCTTTGCAGGCTTGGCTTACTTAGGAGCTGCTTGTAATCCGGATTCCAAATTTGCATTAGCACTATTTAGCCATCTTATGCAGTATATGGTTGATACCTTTATTCACGAACTTGGACACCTGTAAGTAACTTTATTAAATAGTTTAAATCCAAATGACATTTTTAAATAGATAAATGATATTGTAGAATCAATATTAATCACGATTGGGAAGCTAAAAATTGCTCACCCAAATTGCTACCTGGAAAAAAACGTTATTCTTATTGCGCTAAGAAAGGCGTAACAGAATTTTTAGAGTAAGTTTAATTTCTTTTATTAAATTTACAGATAATTTGTGATGAATATTTTAATACTTTAATTTTGCTTTTAACAGTACACACTCGTGTTTTCTTGATCACTGTGACAATGGTGAGAAATGAGAGTGGATATCTCCATAAATCGACTACGTCATCGATTGACAATAATTGTTCCTATATTAAATTTAAACTACAACTATTGTAACTCAATGTCACGTATAAACGTTGAAAAAGTTCTCAATGTAACTATTTTTAATATCTGTTCTGTAATATTACTTAAATTTAACTAAAATAAATGATCTGGATATTATTTTGTTATTTATTTATTAGTATAATGTATAATACGCGTATTTAGTGACATACATAAGGGATTCAATAACAATACAATCACGGTTCAATAATACGTGATATTTAGACACTTATCGATGAAAGGTGTCTTAAAAAATACAACAAAACAATGATATAAGAAAGTCTAGAAAAGAAGATTACGTTTCGAATACTTATTTGTCAATGCGCTCCTAATTTTTAAATTCAAAGAATATAAGTATTATTGAATAATTTACGATACTATGATTTTGCATCTGTGTATTATCGAGAAGAAAACCGAAATGTCAACAGACCGCGTTACAATAGACATATCTTTCCTCTTTGGTATCCTTACCGATGTTACTGCTTTGTTAAAAGAAGAAACGTCAGCAGTTATTTTGAAACCTTAATCATACAATCATCAAAGTTCAATTATTATATGCTAAGAAAACATTGAAATCTACATTTGTAAATAATTTATAATTCAAAAATAATTTAATTGCTTATGTTAATTTTTGTTTTTTATGTGATAATCTGGAGATAAGGGAAATATTTTAACAAATTTGTTAAAATAATACCTAAATTAATTTTAAATAATAATTTTTTTAATCAAATTTAATTTAATTTTGTAAAAGGAAGCATTTTCTTTCATGGAGAAAACAGTTTAGTTCGTTCTAAATTGATGATTCGAGTGCGGAATCTCACTTCGCAAGTGTACTAGTTGACGAGCGGTTCCGTTTCCCGAATACTGGGCGTTTGGCTGTGGGTTCGCGCGTCGCCAGGACGGACTGGCCACGTGGAGTTTTTCGAGATTTCTCCACGTCTGTAACGCCTAAATAGGGGTTCAGTTAAAATACCTCCCGGTAGCATCCCCTTTAGACAGATCGCCCAAGTGTTGCGTTGCCATAACTTAACTAAAAAAACATCTCACTTTACTATCTGCAAGACCGTCAGCGTGTAAAGGAGTCAGTGTCCGATAGTTATTTTATGTTTCGGGGCGTTATTTTTATTTAATTATTTTCTTTTCGGGGTTCTTTTTAGTTAAGGACAAACTTTTAAGCACAGGTGACAAAGAACCAAAAGGGATACTTAGTTTGCATCAGTGCCTGATCCTGTAACGTCAATTTATGTAAATTAAGACAGTGCGGAGATGCACTAGACGTAGAACAAAAGGCGGCACATCGAACACAGTCGAGAGAGGTTGCTTCAAGTTGCGTCTGTGCTCAATTAGCGGAAGCCGCATCTTTTTGCTGTAGGATCCTTTTGAGGTGGAGATATAAAGTTTTTGTTCACTTGATATTATAAGTACAATTTTCTTTAATTATTAATTTTTGTTGCTACTTTTTATCATCCAATTTTCAACTATCTGTTGGGACAATTAACCCATTATTGATTTTTACGTCAATATAATAAGACTTATATTTATTGTGAATTATTATATGTGGTTTTGGAAATTTATTGTTTCTTAATTTGGAAGTCCAGGCCTGGTACTTGAACCCTAATATTGTGTAACCCCGTTTTTTTTTGTTTTCGTAAACGGTGTGTTACAAGCCTTCCTCCTCATGCCAAAAGTCTGGTGTGAGAAGTGGGAGTTTGATAGGGAACATTTTTATATTTATAAAATGTTCCCTAAAACCTGTTTTAAATTTTCTTAAAGCTGTAAGAAGACAGAAAGTTTATGTGTCATGTCATGTACACAATTCTTATGAATCATTAGAGAAGCGACTGTTCTTTCATAAGTGAAACTAATACCCCGTTCGCACCGAGCATTTCGATCTAGATTGTGACTAAGGTCGGAGAGTGTTCCATGGTGCGAACGCTCTCGACCGTTTCAATCTCGACTGAAACGAGGTTCAATCGCGATCGACTGGAGAGAGTTCTCGAAACTAGATCCAATCATAAGAGAGATCCCACAATCCCACGCGCGCGAGAAAATACAAGATGGCTGCGGAACACGTGTCGGGCTATCGACAGAGAAATAAAAAAGACATCTGGAGAGACGACGACATCTGTCTATTATTATATATATGGCAAGAGAAAGTATTTATTTCTAACCAAAACTTCCATTTTGTTTGTTGGTGTTTGTGACTTACCGCGTAGTTACGTCAGTTTTATGATCGCGTGTAATAGTTAGGTTCTTCTCGAGCGGACTAATAGGTTTACTAATGCATCAAAACATGAAGTAAGATTTATCGATGGATACATGCTCTCGAAGTCCATAACCGACCCAACTTCGTTGTCCAATAACGATAGCTCATGCAGATCATTCACTAAGTGAAACGTGTTTTTTGCTCCGGACAACACTAGAAACTGGAGAGGCGCAATAGCAGAAATAGAAAGAGGGCTTGTAGGCATTAATGAGATAGATAAAGACTATTTTAGATGGAAAACAACGTTCAGAACTGAAAAATACACAAAGAAGCAGGATAAGGAGAGGGGCATTAACCACGCAAGGAAATGGTTGAATGACAATGATCTAATAGTCACCAATGCGGATAAAAGTAAACATTTGGTCATAATGAAGAAGCAAAGATATAATGAAGCCCTAGAAGACTATATAAGAAAAATAGAGTGTGAAAGAGTGGACCGTGGTATAGTGGAAAAAATCGACAGAAAATTAAGGAAATTGGAAAAATCGCCCATAACATCATTTTTCCCTTTCCTGAAAGGGGCTCATATCACCTGCCCGAGTGTACCTAGGTTGTTTGGGTTCGCGAAAATACATAATAACAACAACGAAATTAGGCCAGTGGTAGAGAAATGTAAAGGACCAACCTATAAACTGGAAAAACGTATGCATAAATATTTGTCGGAGCAGATTGAAGACTACCAATTTGTCACAAAAAACACGTTTAACTTCGTGAATGATCTGCATGAGCTATCGTTATTGGACAACAAAGTTGGGTCGGTTATGGACTTCGAGAGCATGTATCCATCGATAAATCTTACTTCATGTTTTGATGCATTAGTAAACCTATTATGTGAGTTGCACCCGAATGCATCCGAACAACGAAAGGACCTCGAGATGATGGCGGATCTTGTATGCTTTCAATCATTTTTCAGTTTCGAAGGTAAAAAATTTTTAAACAGTTAAGGGGGGTCCCGATGGGCAGCCCAATGTCTGGCCTGCTCTGTGAGTTAGTGGTGAGAAAAATGGAGCGCTCTGCACTTATAAACTACAATGAAGACATAATCCTATACAAAAGATACGTTGATGATGTGCTAATTGTATGGAAGAACGACACAAAGATACAACAATTCTTGAGCCAAATGAATTCCAACCAACATGGTTTAAAACTGAACCTAGAACAGATAAGTAGCAAAGAACTACATTTCTTGGACGTTAACATTGAATTTAAGAATGGATCACTGTACACAAAGGTGTATATCAAGCCCACTCATGATCTGATATATATACCAGCGACATCTAATGATCCAACTGTATATAAACTTTCTGCCTTTAAGGCGCTAATCAGAAGTGCGTTTCTGTATTGCTCCAACGTAATGGACACTATAGAGGAACTGAATAGAATTAAAGAAGTGGCGAAAGGGTTGGGATTTGGAACAAGATCTGTAGAGCGTCTAATTACCGCATACAACGATCCTAGAAAGAGCAAAAAGAAAAAACCAGAGGAAAGCAGCAACATCACAAAATTTACATATAATAAACATCTATTCCCGGTTATGAAAGAAATCGCGAACTACAAAAACACCAATATAGTATACAAAAGAGCTTCCACATTATATACGTTGCTCAGAAACGACAAAGAAAAAATTAATGATAAAGAACAAGCAGGAGTGTATGCAATACCATACAAAAACGACCAATTAGAAATAGATAAAGAATACATAGGAGTCACTAATAGAAACCTTAGCGTGAGGATAAAGGAGCATAAGTATGACGTTGCGAAGAGCCGATATGCAACAGCGTTATCAAAAATAGCGCAAACGGATGGATCCATAGTTAAATGGGAGGAGGCCAGAATCGTGGCAAAGGTACACTCGCCAACACTTGCATCCGCAACAGAGAAATGTGAGATCTACAGATCCAGCTTGACGGATAAATGTTTAAACTATAAGGATGCAACAATTTTACCGTCGCCATGGAAATACATAATTAGAAAAAACTCGTAGGATGATACAATGAAAACCTGGGTTAATATATAAAAAACGTTTACAGATTGGATTGCGGGAAATTACCGTATTTTATATTCCTTTTTTATATTTATTGTATTAATTTCGTTATGCTTATTTACGTAATTTAATTTCAACGTATGTTCTAATATAATTTAAATTTGAACGTGTTCGATAATTGCTTAGATTTTCAAAGTTTTCCGAACCCGTTGTTAAACACACGTAACATTTCTCAGCGGTTTTGTTTCTTTTAAAAAATATATTAAAATATACATATTATACTCTTTAACACTACTAAACTAGAGCCTTATACCCCGTTCGCCAAGTTCCCCTTGTACGCCGTTCGCATATAATTTCCATCGACCGTTTCAATCTCGACTAAAACGAGATTTAATCGTGTTCGACTCAAGAGAGTTCTTGAAACTAGGTCCAGTCATACGACGGATCCCACAATCCCACGCGCGCGAGAAAATACAAGATGGATGCGGAACACGTGTCGGGCTATCGACAGCGAAATAAAAAAGATATTGTATTTCGAGAAACAATGACATCTGTCTATTATTATAACAATACCTAATGATTTAGAAAAGTTTTTTCTTGAGAAAAAGTCATAGGGAAAGCAGTTAATTAACTCCTTGGGACTCTAGCAATTTTTGATATTAATGTAGTTAAACATAAAAAATACTTAAAACTGAAAAAACAAAAGAAATGCGTTAATTTCGAAGAAAAAGCTTCAGATTTTATTTTCCTTTGTCTTGTCTTTCTGTGAAATTGACACTGATGAGTCATTGTTTAATTAAACAGCTGGATGACCTCGAACACAGCTGGAGTTGGATTTTCCGGGACATTCTCATAGAAGTCTCGGGAGGCGCTGGGTTTATAGTAGGGTGAATACAAGCTGGCCGTATTTTTAAAAATATTTNGTTTGATAGGAAACATTTTTATATTTATAAAATGTTTACAAAAACCTGTTTTAAATTTTCTTAAAGCTATAAGAAGATAGAAAGTTTATGTTTCATGTTATGTTGCCCTGGACTTAGTTTGTAAATTGTAGGATTAACCTTGAAATTTTTAAAAAAATGTTAATGGAGTTTATTTACTAAAGTTGAATAATTTTGATTATTATATTTCGAAGTTGAATTTTCTTTAAAACTCTTTCTGCTCTGTGGGCAGTGAGAGGGCCTCTCTTAGCAAACCTATTATAATTCGGTGAGGCCTGCAGCAGGGCCCGACATATCCAGACCGACTACTCCCGAAAAACTCCTGGAGATTTTTCGACTCATCTTCCAGTGCGGAAAGCTGCCAACTTTACCTCTCGGTCATCCGGCCGTCCAAAGGTTGATAGTTTGTTTGTTAAGTTATGGCAACGCAACACTTGGGCGATCTGCCTAGGGGATGCCTTCTAGGAGGTCTTTTTAAGGAAAACTAGCCTCTATTTAGGCATTATAGACATAGAGAAAACCCGGAAACTCCACGTGACAGCCTGTCCGAGCCCACGACCAAACTCCCAGTGTTTGTTTTTGGATAGTTTTCCCAATTTTAGGTTTTTGTAAAACAAAACCTAAATTCATTCTATTGTATTTTAGGTAAAGTTGCTGTATATATTGGTTTTATATTAATAAACTGGTAGCCCGGGAAGCCCCCTAGTGGGTGTTTTTTACAAATTTCCACGAGGCACGGTTCCTTTGACTTTTTTGTTCCTATGAATATGCTCTACAGCTCTGTTAAAGTCCCAGTGGTAAAATTTACCTTCCGAATGAAGGGGTGGCAACCCTCAAACTGTAGTCCCCCTGTGCGAACAATAAAGTCAAAGGAACCATACCCCTATGCGCGACCCTTCACGAGATATAANTTATCCGAACAACCACAGTCCCCAATTGATTCGGATAAAAGACGCTCTACTGTACTCAAAGTAGAACGTAGACTGGTATAAAAAAAACAAAAGAACCAACAGCTTAACTTTAAGAGAAAAAATAGTTTTATTATTTTACATTATACTTAACCCCAAATGTATTTCGCCTTTATTGGCCTCTTCAGTAGGGTTTGTTACCAGTACTGAAGAGCTTCTTCTGAAATCTTTCCTGAAATCTGAAAGAATCACTACTGAATTCTTTAGCTTCAGTTCCCCTAAAACCCTCCAGTTATAGGGAAAAACAGAATGGTTTGAGGCTAGAACTTTTCTCAGCGAAACTTGTGGAGCGATGAGTAATAGCATCAGAACACAGGGTGGTTTCACCCTAGATTTACACTAAATATAAGACTACTGGAAACATTACTCTGAGAGGTTGAAATTACTCTAGAAAAGGGTAATTACCCTAGAAACGGCAGCACTAGTGAAGAACGAACACAATACAAACTCCGTAAGTGTTTGGAATGCACCCGTTGACAAGTTACAACCTATCCTTCGTAACTTATAATTGCATCCGCTAACGTTCAGAATGCGTTATGACTTTTCTTAATCACCACAACGCGTAGTGGTCAAATATCGTGAAAGCCACGACACGAGTTTCGCTTTGTGGTCGTTTTGAGTTAGCCACAAGGCGTTGTGGTCGTTTTAACAACTGCCACGACGCGAATTTCGCTTCGTAACCGTTTTTTTTTTCGCTAAACGAGCGATTTCGGTCTTTGAACCTAATACAGTATGTCGATTACGCTGTATATTTGAACGAGAACAATAGTTATTCAAGTTTAACTTATCCAAAGAACGGGTATTTAGAAAGATTAAGAATGGTTTAGGGCATTTGCCTTCACTCCATTTGTCTACATCGGAAAATCTGATTACAAGACTGTAATTGAAAAATTGCACAAGTTGAAACGTTTGATGCCTAGACTGATACAGGAGAAGTGCTTTGTGTATATTTTCCATTGTCTGTGCGACAAATGCGCCGATTGTTCAATTCAGATCTTCAGAGAGGCGTTTCTTTACGTCAACTCTGTTACTTTTAAGCGATTGCCCATTTTTATATTAACCAACGCGCTCAGAAACGACGATTTTCTTGAACAGGACGAAAAGTATTGAAATGACGAATGTATAAATTTATTTGTTTTCATTTGGTGGAAAAATATGAATTATATTAAATTGAATCATTTATTATTTTCTAAAGGCGAGGAATGCCCGAATTTCATTTCATTCACGTCCAGAGACTTTTACAATTATTTCATACGTTACCAGAGGATGTAGTGTGAGAACCTTTCTTTTGATTGAAGAGACTTCTTGTCTCATTCTTACTTTACGGGACCGATGCATCAAACGTAAGGTGGAGCAACAAGGAACTTATCTACATTTTAGTAATTCGTACACAATTCATTTATTGTATTCATTCAGACACTTGGCAAATCTCATCATTAAATTTTATTTAGTTGATACGTGTTCATCGTATTTGTACACGTTTCGGGCAGTTTGTGCCCCTCCTCAGCCAACTTTAGATTACAGATTACTTTACTAATGAATACAATAAATGATTTGTGTTCGAATTACTAAACAATTACTGGCACGGTTTCAAGAATACTAGTATTATTTACATTTGGTAAATAATGGTTTAGTGATGTATCCGTATCGGTTGTTTCACAATATAAGTATTTAGATGTGACCTTTAAAAGCAATAGCAATTTTAATACTCGTCTGAGGACTCGTATAGTTAATGCTGAGATGAAGACGAATAAAGTTATACAGTACAAATGTGTAACTTTGCGAAATTGCGTAATTTGAAGGAGCACTTAAAGTAATTTAATGCAGTTGTAGACTTCTCTCTTCTCTGTGCCTCCGAAGTGTATGGGTTTCAGGAGGAGAGATTTTGGATATAGTACAGTCGATCCCCCTATAAGATCATTGTTTTTTCCGTTTTATCTGAATTACATGTTGTACGAGTCACTTAGATTTTACAAATATGTGAGCCGTTCACAGCCCGGCAGACGTATTTGTAAAATCTAAGTGACTCGTACAACATGTAATTCAGATAAAACGGAAAAATCAATGATCTTATAGGGGGGTCGACTGTATTACCTACTTTTGTTAAGAGATTGTATGGGCTTCCAAGATGTACTCCTGGATATTTACTGTGTATGAAATGTTTACCGATTCCATTGTCTCGTATGATCCCGAACAAACGCGTTAATTGGGTTTTTCGAACTTTAAACCTGGGAGAAGAACGTCTTAGCGAGATTTGTTTGAGTTTTGTTTCGAAACGGATAGTGTTGCCCTAGACTTAGTTTGTAAATTGTACGAGGAATGGGATTAACTTTTAAAGTTTTTTAAAAATGTTAATTAATGGAGTATATTTACTAAAGTTGAATAATTTCGATTATTATATTTCGAAGCTAAATTTTTTTTATAACTCTTTCTTCTAAGAGGGCCGCTCTTAGCAAGCCCATTATGGGTTCGGCGAGGCCCACAACGGGGCCCGACATATCCAGACGGACGACACCCCCTGAAAACATCCCGGAGATTTTTCGACCCGTCCCCCATAGCGGTAAGCTGCCAACTTTACCTCTCGGCCGTCCGGCCGTCCAAAGGTAAATAGTTTGTTTGTTTAATTTGTTAAGTTATGGCAATGCAACACTTTTGCGATCTGCCTAGAGGATACCTTCCGGGAGGTCTTTTTAAGGGAAACTCGCCTCTATTTAGACGTTACGGACATGGAGAAAACCCGAAAATTTTACGTTTTGAGTTCCTCCAACCGAGGCGTGAACCCACAACCAAATTTCCGTGTTTGTTGTTGGATAGTTCTCCCACTTTTAGGTTTAGTAAAAGAAAAATTAAATTCATTCTATTGTGTTTTAGGTAAAGTTGGTGTATATATTTGTTTTATATTAATAAATATGTTGTATAATCTTGTATGATTTTTGTATGTTTCTCCCCGTATCATGGTTGTACCAGTATGCATAAATATATAAAACTAGCAGGTGGGCCCGGCGTTGCTCGGGCAAAAGTAACGATAACTAAGATAAAGATTATTACGTTGCAGTCAACCTTACCCGTTTTCACAGAATGCAAGAATTGG